CTAGAGTTTTCCTATATGGAATAGCCATGGGCTCCAGCCCTAATCCACCCTTGTTATAGTATTTTATATTTAATTAATTATTATTATAATTAAAATCAATTAATATATTTATAAAATATATTAACATTTAATTAATAATAATAACTCATTTAAATATATGTGTACGTATATTTAAGTATAATCTCACTAATTTAATTTTAACATTAAATTAAATACAGGCAACAACCTCAGCAAATTTAATTGCATTGTGAGATTACCAAAATACCCTTTCATCCTAAAAGACGAAAATACCCTTTGAACAAAACGATTCTTAAATTATCTTCTAAGTGTGTGACCCGTAGGCTCCTTGTCATATCGGCAGTGAGTAGTATCACGATTAACACCAATTAATCGTCTCACTACACACAGACCAAGATTGGCCCCTAGCAAGGCATCATGGCCACCCAATAGATTCGGATTTAGCAAAAAAGCTACCAATCAACGATATGGTTACTATGCAATCAAATCCTTTCATCATCTATTATCTCATCGAGACTGAGGTGCAGAAATAGTGTCAACCTCAGTTACTCTCGATATCTTTGTATTTAGTTACTAGACCAATGACCAGATAAATAAATTAGATTGAGCAACAACTCAGTCCCACTGTGGCCACAGCTTTAGTGCCATTGCCATACACCGAATTGGCCCGTGGGATAACTTCTCCCATACACAGGAGTGATGAATCCTTTATCGATTTACCATAGTCTTACTACACTCCTCGATGCGACCAATCACTACCGTATTGATAGCTCTGAATAGAACTACATTGTGCTAATGTCAAACTACACTAATCGGTACACAAGACGCTCCGGTGATTTCAAGTCTAAGGATCACATGCACCACCATTTTTTTAAAGGATTTGTTCTATAGACACTAGGGTTATCATCTATATGGAATTCTCTGGTGGGCCAGTCCAGTGAACTTGCCTATAGCAAGCACCCATGTGTTGCACCAGTTTGTCAGCAAACAATCTTGACAAGTGAGACCAGTCACTGCCTTTCGATAAGGTCATTCAACACTATGATAGCCTTACCGTATTACCTGTGTCCTTGGTTAGAATAATACTGGGGCTACGGATATTTCTAAAATGGCCACCATATGTGATCATAGGGTTCTCACTATCAAGATTTGAAACACTAGATACACTCATCATGGTTCTACCATCCTAAGGACATATATCAATACATATAGATATGATTTACATGATTTAGTAGAAAATGCCTTTTTATTGATTATTAAACATTATTACAAAGAGTCAATTCTACAATAATTGATTGGCTCTAGGGAATGTACTCCAACATCTACCACTTTAAGGGTATATATCAATATGTTAATAATATAAGCAAAATGATATAGAGAATTTGCCTTTATTAATATTAACATGTGTTTTACAAAGAGTCAATAGCTACAAACATATTGGCTCTAGGGCACCTACACTAACGATGGTGGTGTTTGTTGTAGTCGACTAGAGTTGGGACTGACTTGCTAGGGTTCCATGGTTAGGGGTTAGAAATAATTGTCCTGGATGGATGGGGGCGTAGGACCTAGAGTCATGTTGCTAATCCAGGGGGAAGTCGAGGGAGTGAAACTGGTTTACCTTCTCTTGGAGGGCTTGGTTCTCCGTCCGGATGGCGGCGTTCTCAACTTCCAAAGTTTTGCACTTGTCGATGTTTTCTTGCACTAGTGCAGTGAGAGCCAAGTGTCTCTAGACATGATAAGGATTAAGCAAACGGAGTAGGAGTGAAAGGAGCAGGAGCAAAGGGAGTAGGTCGTTACTAGTCAGATGATTATCAAGGCCCCATAGTGGGCACAAAATTGTAGATGGTAAAATCTACGGTTGATTCAAGCAAGGATGATCCTATAGGGGCCTATAAAGACATTGAAAATCATGTAGACCTATAGGGACAAAGAAAGAGAACATGAAGGCTCAGGGAACACCGGTGTGGTGTCCGCTGTATGCACTCCAATGCTCAAGTCAACACGGTTGAAGGGAATTTATAAGTTAGGCCAACAGTAGGAAAGGGTTTACTAGAAGTGTTTGGCTGGGGCATAACTTATCGAAGTAGAGTGGCCGAAACATAGCTCTATGACAATTATGGGATTAGAGTACTTGCAACTAGGCTCTACAGCAGGGAAAGACAATGGTTCTAAGGAGCAAGAACTTAGTAAGATAGAGATAGTGGTTCTGGTTGAATGAATAATGAGAGGCTTTACCTCTGTTTATATAGTGAGCCAAGAAAGCTTGAGTCCTAATAGAATTAGGCATTCTCATAATAGGAGTTTGAGTAAACAAGAAACTCGTAGTGCTAATCCACGTAAAAGTATAAATACTAGTTCATGAAAGATTAAGAGTCTTGGATAAACTAGGAAGTAAGCAGGACTCTAAGTCCTGTTTCAGAACCAATATGGGCTAATGGGCAGGATCCCAATTTAGCTTAACTTGTAGAAAGGCCCAACTCGTAGAGTGACACAAAGTATAAGTTAACCCAGTTTGCAAGGTGGCTTTGATCGTAAAGTGGTCCAGCTCGTAAAGTAGCCTAACATGTGGATAGGGTTTACTCGTGGTGTGGTCCAGCTTGTAGAATAGGTCGGCCCATAGAATTGATCTTCTTACAAGGTGGGCCATCCCATTGGATGGTCAATCCTTACGATGGATTTACGCGTGGACCCAACTGAAAATGGGTTAAGGCAGTGGGTCGTGGATCGTTTATTTTGTTATTGGGCCTGACAAGGTCCTGTACGATTTTTGGCTCATACAACTGTGTTCTGGCCACAGGTTGACAAAATTCTTTTTCTATGATATTTTACACATCAACTATACAACTTCCTATTGAGAAATATTATTAATTATTAATATAATTTTTATAATTTATATAAGGTTGTGTTAGTAATATAAATTTTATTTAGACATATTAGTTTAAAAGAACAAACACATCATGTATTAAAACCGGGAATGACAAAAATATTGTTTGTTTGTTATATATATGTTGCAGCAGCACATTACCATAAAAGATTTTTACTAGAGTTGTGAAGTGTATTGTTTTAGTGTCCTTAAGTTTAAGGGTTTGAGTCTCTTGGAAAACATTTTTATCAATGATAATTTTTTAGGGCTAATATGGTCAAATTATTAATAAATCATGGGTAAATTTTTAATTGCAATGGTCAAACTTGGCCTTCAATCTTGGGAAATTGTAATTGCAATGGCCAAACTTGGTTTTTCATCCAGTTTAACGTAAAAAAAAAACAAATGATAGGGGGTGTTCTTGATAGTTTCCATAGTTTTTAGATGCTAAGTGTCAGGCTTTCGAGTTTCAGAGGGTGTAATTTGTATTCTTCCATCTTAAAATTATTAAGTGTTTGGTGCAACTAAATACTATTAAGTATGTTGATGCTTGATTTTGACACCAACGACTCACACGTGCAAAGTGCTAAGCTGTTCTTAGAAATTACATGTGAATGATTGGGATAATCAAATGCAAAGACTAAATTATAAATGAGAGATGGTTTTTAAAGTGGTTCGGATGTTTAAAGTGAATCCTACGTCCACTATTCTTTTATATATGAGAGATTACAAGAGGTCGGATATAGCGAACAGCAAACAGAGGTACAATAACTGAGTGTTCAGATAGAATATCAAGCGAGGCTCTTTCTCGCAGCTTATCTTTGCTCTGAAAGTTAAAGATTACAATCAAAATGTGAGTTCAGTATCAGAATCCTGAAAATGTGAGGGGGAGTAATCTATTTATAGTAGAGGAATTCAAGATAATGATTACAAATCTGTAAGTGGGTAGGTGTCGTGCAAGTCCTTCCTTGCGTCTCATTCGCTGATAACTTAGGAAATATTCTCAAATTACTTAGGGCTTAGACAGGTGTGCGGCTCTCATTCACTCATAGACAAATCCTGAATTTGTCAAGTTGGTGAAAACCATATTCTTCCTGTCTTGGGGCGATGTGGCAACTCTTGGACGGCACAAAGCCTTCCTGAACTCTGATTATGCTTATTGATGTAAGCTTACGTCAGCCATGACTTTTTAGGCATAACAAAGTGTTTGAAAAAAAAAAAAAATGCGGCCACAAAGTTTAAATACCTCCACAACATTTTATAAGACTAAAATAGCCTTACACTCTCACCTGCTTCCATCTTTCATCTTAAGGAAGTTGATAAGAAAAAAAAACATAATATTTTCAGAAACATTATTATAATTACAAAAAAAAAAAAAAGTATACATAATAGTTATACAAAATCATCAGTCCTGTGATTTAGGAATAGGAATGTGGCACATGGGATTTATGTATAATATTAGGTTTTTTGATATTTTAATAATTTCAAAATATAAAAAATAATGGGTTGATGGTTGTTTTCATTGATTTACTGCATATAAAGTAAAGGTGTTTTTATAAAAGATTTAAGGGTATCTCAATCTTTACATGTTAGATTCTTGTGAAATTAAATAACAAAATTTATAAACTGATGTTAGTATATTGGGTGTTTTTACCAGGAACAAATAAATGGATATTGATAAAAATAGCCAAATTTTAAGGGTTTTAAAAAATAAACCACATCTTCGAACCTCAAACTATATGAATAAACAGATGCATCTTTTGACATATACACCTCTTTTGTAGTTGTATGATCCATTACAACGTCTGAAATCTCCAATAATTGACATACACTAAGCCACAATTCGCTTATGTAATCCCACAATTCGCATATGCGGACAAGGTGGTTTTATGCGAATTTTTTTTTGAACAAAATACGCTACTCTTCTCAATTTTTTTTTCATTTTTCACAATAATAATACATATTAACCAGACATAATCATATAGTTTATGAAAAAAAAAAATCTCTAAAGTAATATAATTATTTCAAATCCAAACCTAAACCGAACTATAAGATAACCGTGTTTCCAAATCAACTTTGAAAGTTGACCAAAAATTCAAGGGAAAAAAAGATTTTAAGCTGAATATTATGTATCTACCAAATAAATTTGGTAGTTGTGCAAATTAAAATAATTGTAAGGTAGCATCAACTCGATGCTTTAAAATGGACAGCATAATTGGCATCAATAGTTTAATTAATTGCTAATGGCAGGAAAGTCGGTGGCCAAAGGTCTTGGCCTTTTTGGCTTGACCATTTTCAATTAAACTACTTTCCCCAGAATTGCCGTTGCTTCAGCTACAGTTCAGCTTCTCAAAAGAGGCTCCTTTTTGTCCTCCCATTTATCCAACCGCGTCATTGCTTTCTCCACCTGAAATTCCAATCTGCTCGTTAATGCTTACTTTATATATACATATATTCAAAGGTCTTTGGCATTTATGGTTCATCAAATGCTTTCAAGGCATTAATTTAAAGGGTTGAACTTGAGGAACTTTTGGTACTTCTATTCTATACGTGAATTTAAGATTGTGAACTACTAGAATTAAAGCAGTATGTGCATCCAAGATTGTGAATAGTGATCCATAGAACTTGCCTCTTTGTTCCAGTCCGTGCGAAATGTTACCCACAGCAAAATGATGGTTTGCATTGCTGTTCCTCCGATCATCCCAGACCATATTCCCTGCTTAAATTATAATTTTTAAATAGGCAGAACGACTTACACATACCCAAGGTTTGCCTAAACGATAAGTTGGTACCTAAAAGGTTTTGAAACGATAAATAGGTACCTTCCGTCATGTTCTGTTAGTGATTTTCATTTGATAATAGTGAAAAGACTAAAATGCCCTTGAAAGTTTAATATTTTAGCTTTTTATAAATTTAAAAATTTCTAAAAAACCTCATAGCTTTGCTAATTTGACTAAATACCCCAATATATAAATTTTTTTATAAAATAACAAAAACACCCCAGCCACCCGCAGTGCCAGATTCCGACCACCACCGCCGGAATCTGGCCGGAAAATTGTGTTACGACACAGACCCGTCGGATCTGTGTCATAACACGTCGATCTAGCATTTTCCGGCCATATCTGCCACGGATCTGGCCGAAAAGGCCAGATCTATGTCTGGCTTTTTTTGGCCTCGACGGCCAGATCTGGCATAGATCTGGCATTGTTCGGCCAGATCCTCCACGAATCTGGCTAAAAAATGCCAGCTGATCTGGCCGGAAAATGCCAGATCGACATGTTACGACACAGATCCGATAGGTCTGTGTCGTAACACGATTTTTTGGCCAGATTCCGGCCTTTTCCGGCCAGATCAGCCATGGATATTGCCGGAAAATGTCAAATCTACGCGTTACGACACAAATCCGACGGGTCTGTGTGGTAACGCAATTTTCTTGCCAGATTCCGGCAGTGGTGGCCGGAATCTAGCACTGCGGGTGGTGGGAGTGTTTTTGTTATTTTATAAAATTTTTATATATTGGCGTATTTAGTCAAATTAGCAAACCTAGGGGGTTTTTTAGAAATTTTTAAATTTATAAAAAAACTAAAATATTAAACTTTCAAGTGCATTTTAGTCTTTTCACTATTATCAAACGAAAATCACTAACAGAACCTGACGGAAGATTTCTATTTGTCGTTTCAAAACCTTTTGGGTATCAACTTGTCATTTCGGCAAATCTTGGGTATGTGTAAGTTGTTCGGCCTTTTANAGATTGTGAACTACTAGAATTAAAGCAGTATGTGCATCCAAGATTGTGAATAGTGATTCATAGAACTTGCCTCTTTGTTCCAGTCCGTGCGAAATGTTACCCACAGCAAAATGATGGTTTGCATTGCTGTTCCTCCGATCATCCCAGACCATATTCCCTGCTTAAATTATAATTTTTAAATATATACAGAAGCTTTAGGACTTTGATCACAATATATATATATTGGTTTCATTAATTAGTTTTCTGGTTTAAAAGTAATGTTGCCTTAGCACATTAATTCCAATTTTGCTAGCAAAAGAATGAGTAATTGAATGAAAGGTTTAATATTATCGTACCTTTACACCAAGGTCGAACTTGAAGCCAAGAATACACCCCAATGGAATCCCAACAACGTAATAACATCCTACATTTACATATGCCACAAAAGCTTGCCATCCACATCCCACCGCCACACCTTTGTCAATATAATTTTTTTTTTTTTAATTAATTTCAAACAAATATGTAAGCTGAAGTGAATTAACAAATAATCTCTAATTAGTAACATAAACTCAACTGATTCTTAAAACGTTCAAGTTTTTTTTTAGGCGATTCTAAGTTTAATTAAAACTGTGAACAATCTGACTTTATTTTTCTTTTTTCCTTATTATCTTTTAGAATTAATGGCATTCTATATTTAACAATTGTAGCTGATCCTGGCATTGGTAGGTAAAAATAAGCTATTTTGCAAAATGCCAAAGCCAGCAGGGATATGGGTATAAATTATTAAGATATGCATGTAGAAGGCTTAATAATTTGTCTCTATACATATGTATTACTTGGGTCTCTGATGTGAACTTATAATTAAAAAGCATTGCGTGATCCATAAATAGCTAATTAATTAATTTATCTGAGAGTCCAAATATATAGATGTCATGCTTGTGAAGACAGCTAATGCAAAGACACTAAGCTAGGGTTTGAAATCATAAAACAGTATGTGGTTACCCACTCTCACTTTTCATGGCATTTATAATTAAAGGGGATTTTAAGTTTCAGAGTCTTGGGCTCCCTTCGATATAGTCTTTCAAGTATTATTATTGGTTTTTCTAATAAAGTTAAACAGTAAAATTAGCTTATTCTCAAAATATTATTCAATTTCTTTTAAATCCCCCTAAATTTGTTAATTTAACTAAACATCCTTAATTTTTTTTGAAATTACAAAAACACCCCAGTAACCCACTTTATACCAGATTTCGGTCACCATTGTCGGAAGCTGGTCGGAATCTAGTATAATGGTATACTACCAGCTGAATCTGGCCAGTAGTACACCGATCTAGCATTTTCTAACCAGATCCACGATGAATCTGACCAAAAAATGCTAGATCTTTGGCCGTAGACAGTCGTTAACGACGGCCGTATCTTTGGCAGTCGTTAATGACCTAATACAGCCAGATCTGGCCGTCAATGCTAGATCTAGCCTTTTTTTACTAGATCCAACGTGGATTTGGCGGAAAATGTCATATCGGCACACGACAGGCAAGATCCAATCGGTCATGCGTCGATACGGTGACTCCGACCATCCTCCGGTGGTGGTGGCCGGCTGTTCTTATTTAATGGGCAGGTTGAAGGTGTTTTTATTAACTTTTAATATTTTATTATAGGGGTGTTTAGTAAATACACAAACATATGAGATATTTTTGTTAATTTTTAAATCTTACATCGTAATACCCATTCAATTTAACTTTTTTCAAAATATTATTCTAAAAAGTAGACCCTTGATTTTCTTAAGCAAAAACAAGATTTAAAAAAAATAAGAGTAGTTACATACCTGACAAGACTGGTTGCACACCATTAAGAATAAGAGTAAAAGCCAAGTAAGGGCAGAGTTGTGAAACTGCGTTGGCCACTGTCTCACCACTTGTGAAGGCGTAGCTGATGACATGGCGTAGAGCAAGTACCACCACAGCTTCTATCACGGCAATTATGAAAGAAACCAAGTTCACTATTACTACTGAAAATGCTGCTGACTTTGGGTTCCCAGCACCCAGCTCGTTGCTCACCCTCACACTAGTGTTTAATTGTTATTATTATTATTATCGAATTCAAGCTGATTAATGAATTAAAGAAGCACGACTGATTAGTGAACTAACCTTGCTGCAGCATTGAACCCAACTGAAACCATGAACAACAACCCCATCACTGACATGCTGCATATGAAACCAACATTCATTTAATTAATTGCCAGATACACTTGTAGCTATGAAAGAAAAAAAAGATTGATTCATATTTGACAACAGAAAATCATCAATGAACTACTCGCTTTTAGTTTCACATAAGTAAGAAAGATACTGTTTCAGATATTCTGTATAATGCTTATCGAAACGATGCACCTTTTACATAGGTACGGTCTAATTTTTTTTTTTTTATTTAATGATCCACCCTTGTCCGAGCATTCTTTTCAGCAATCAGCATTTTCGCTGGTGCGTCAACATATACTAAAATACATCTTTGCCTTTTATAAGCAGTATCAAAAAACATGATAAAAAATCACACATTAATTGATTTTTCCTCTTTTCTCTAAAATATAACTTTATATGTCAAAACATAATAGCTCTGAGGAAAAAAAAAAGAATACTTCACCTAACAGTTCCAAATACTGTCAAAGTGAAATGATTATATACATTGTGAAGAGAACAGAAGCTGCCGTCAGACGCTTAAAACATTACCACCATTTGCTTTAAAAACTGACAAGACATTTGAAAAGAAAATATATGTAATAATGATGATGAGATTAAGGATTTGATTTGGGTTCCAAATATATATATATAGTGAAATTAGAGAAGGCAAAAGTAATGTAACAAATAAATTGTTACCAAACGGCAAGAGAGTCCAATGCAAGTTGAGGATTGTCGAGCAGGCCAGCAATCAAAACTAGTATTTGAAAGTACCATGTCTCCAAGCATAACATCACAGCCGATCCAGTTGAGAGTTTGAAAAATTCCCAAAGCCCAGAAAATGCCATCACGTTAAACCCAGTCCACGTGTGCTTACACTCACCGCTAATCAGGATGTATCCAAATTGCGCCCCAACTATTATCCACCAAGATAAACTCAAAACAAGTGATGCACCTATCAATCCCAATCCCAACTTGTACACAGCCACCCAGCTCAACAACAAGTGCACCCCAAGAGTTGCAGCTGATATGCATGAACTTGGAGCCACAATTCTTTGTGCTTGCAGGAACTTTTGTATGGGAAAGTTGACAGCATACGCAAAGATTTGTGGGATCAGACCCCAAACAAACACTGCAGCTGCAGATGCCAACTCCTCTGTTTCACCAAGTATGATCAAGATGGGTTTACAGAATATGTAAATCATCATCAGTGGGAGTCCGGTTAGAAGAAGGACGATTGTTGCTCTTTGGAGATATATGCCTAGCATTTCATACCTCTGAGCACCATAGGCTTGCCCACATAGAGTCTCCACTGCGCTTCCCATGCCTAGCTGCGCGCATCCGTTTAGCCACACAGATTTAAAATCACATAAGTGAAATTTGTATACATATGGCATTAATTTCTCAAATTAAATTAGATCGATCAATATGATTTTCCTACTTTTAGTTATTACCATGAGGCCATAGGCTAAGAGTTGAACTCCGCTGTTGCCGAGAGAAGCAGCAGCAAGCTGAAGATTCCCAAGATGACCGCAGAAGAGGCGGGTAGAAAGGGACATGAAGTTGTTGATCAAGTAAACCAAGACAGCTGGTGCAGCCAGCGGGAAGAGTAGCTTTAGTTCCAGCCATGAGGCCAACTGCAGACGCTTGAAATATGGCAACTGCGCGTCAGATAACACCCTCTCAAGTCTATAGTCAATTCCATGACGACCTTCGATCAAGATGGGTTCATGGACCCCTTCTTCTCCAGATTCCATGGTTTAGTTTGCACTAGTACTACTGGTTGTTCTGTTATTGGTGGGGTTTTACAATAATTAGATAATATATTTTCACTTAGAAAACGTATATATACAACAATTTTTTTGCTTTTACTCTTGATTGGATGCTGTACGTTGGTTTGATTGCCATGTCACCAGTGCTGTTTTAGAATTTTTTTTGAAAAATTATTAGTTTTGTTTCTTAATTTGAAGGATATTTTGAGTAGTTGAAAAAATTGTATAATTAAGGGCCTGCTTTATGTAAAATTTAAATATAACTTTTCGTTTTGGAAAACAAGGCACAACAAATCTTATCAAAATACGTTTGGTTGAAATGAGTTAAAATGATTTCGAAAGCATATTTTGTATACAATCCTAAAAGTTAGTATATATATTAAAAAAAAAAAAAAAAAAAGATTAAAAGTCATTTTCATAATTTTTTTTTTAGGCTTAACCACATCTTCCCACCCAAAGTTTGCCGTAACGACAATTTATTATCCGAAAAGTTTGAAAATGACAATTCTCCACTTTTCGTGAAGAGTTGTTAGTAAAATCCGTTAGAAGAAGTACAATATGGTAAATTTTCATTCAGCCGTAATTTAAAATTCTTGTCTATGGCCATGTGTCAATCTCTTTTTAATATTTTTTATCCTATTTCTTTTTTTTCTTTTTCTTTTCTCTCTTTTTATCCCATCTCTTCTTGATAAGAGCTTGAAAAGACATGTTTATTTAGTGATTTATTAAGATTATTTGTGTGAAAATTAGGTTGAATTGTGAAATTTTAAATTAATTATTTCATAATTATCTTTTGTGGGATCACAGATATATTTTGAATGTTTTCTGATTAATAAGGATAAAAATACATTCAGATAAAGAATAACGCGAGCTAACAAATGGTTTGAGAATCGGAGTTGAAATGAGGAGGTTATGAAGTTTTGAAGATTAATTGCAAAATTTGGAAAATTGTTTAACTATTGAGCATGTCTCGGTATTTTGATGATATTTGGAGTTGTAGACCTCGAATTTAGATAATATCTGGATTGTTGGAAAGCTGATGAAGAGGGCTACAATTCATAACTAATGACTTTGTCAAATTCAGAAGGATTCATACATGAAAATGGATGTCATTGTGTGCCACAACACAAATTAATTCATGTCCTGACGTAGTTGGTTCTGGACTAAAGTGGAAGATCACGATTTGTGTTCATGCCGTGGTACAGTTAACTCATGCTGTGCATAACAACGATTTCCTAAAAAATATGGATTTATGTAATTATGAATTTTTGCGGATTTAAGAGTTCTAATCTAAATAGGATTGTTGTAAACTCACTCCTAAAACCCTAGCATTATAACTAGATGCCTTTAGCTATTATTTAGAGAGGAGAAGAGGATAGAGAGGAGATTAGCTGCTATTTGTAAATCAAAACAACTCTTGGGGATTTGGTTCATCGTCTAGGGAAGTTTTCTTTTATCTTTCTTAAACTTATGTTTACAATGGTTGTTTATTTTTATTTGATTATGAACTAAGTAAAGTTTCTAGGGCTAAGATGTAGCCCAAGTTCATGAATATGGATTGATTGATTATTGTTAATATTTGTTAAACATTATTTTCTAAGTTTTATTATGGTTCTTAATGCTTCAATTATATTTGTACCGAGAGNGCGGGTAGAAAGGGACATGAAGTTGTTGATCAAGTAAACCAAGACAGCTGGTGCAGCCAGCGGGAAGAGTAGCTTTAGTTCCAGCCATGAGGCCAACTGCAGACGCTTGAAATATGGCAACTGCGCGTCAGATAACACCCTCTCAAGTCTATAGTCAATTCCATGACGACCTTCGATCAAGATGGGTTCATGGACCCCTTCTTCTCCAGATTCCATGGTTTAGTTTGCACTAGTACTACTGGTTGTTCTGTTATTGGTGGGGTTTTACAATAATTAGATAATATATTTTCACTTAGAAAACGTATATATACAACAATTTTTTTGCTTTTACTCTTGATTGGATGCTGTACGTTGGTTTGATTGCCATGTCACCAGTGCTGTTTTAGAATTTTTTTTGAAAAATTATTAGTTTTGTTTCTTAATTTGAAGGATATTTTGAGTAGTTGAAAAAATTGTATAATTAAGGGCCTGCTTTATGTAAAATTTAAATATAACTTTTCGTTTTGGAAAACAAGGCACAACAAATCTTATCAAAATACGTTTGGTTGAAATGAGTTAAAATGATTTCGAAAGCATATTTTGTATACAATCCTAAAAGTTAGTATATATATTAAAAAAAAAAAAAAAAAAAGATTAAAAGTCATTTTCATAATTTTTTTTTTAGGCTTAACCACATCTTCCCACCCAAAGTTTGCCGTAACGACAATTTATTATCCGAAAAGTTTGAAAATGACAATTCTCCACTTTTCGTGAAGAGTTGTTAGTAAAATCCGTTAGAAGAAGTACAATATGGTAAATTTTCATTCAGCCGTAATTTAAAATTCTTGTCTATGGCCATGTGTCAATCTCTTTTTAATATTTTTTATCCTATTTCTTTTTTTTCTTTTTCTTTTCTCTCTTTTTATCCCATCTCTTCTTGATAAGAGCTTGAAAAGACATGTTTATTTAGTGATTTATTAAGATTATTTGTGTGAAAATTAGGTTGAATTGTGAAATTTTAAATTAATTATTTCATAATTATCTTTTGTGGGATCACAGATATATTTTGAATGTTTTCTGATTAATAAGGATAAAAATACATTCAGATAAAGAATAACGCGAGCTAACAAATGGTTTGAGAATCGGAGTTGAAATGAGGAGGTTATGAAGTTTTGAAGATTAATTGCAAAATTTGGAAAATTGTTTAACTATTGAGCATGTCTCGGTATTTTGATGATATTTGGAGTTGTAGACCTCGAATTTAGATAATATCTGGATTGTTGGAAAGCTGATGAAGAGGGCTACAATTCATAACTAATGACTTTGTCAAATTCAGAAGGATTCATACATGAAAATGGATGTCATTGTGTGCCACAACACAAATTAATTCATGTCCTGACGTAGTTGGTTCTGGACTAAAGTGGAAGATCACGATTTGTGTTCATGCCGTGGTACAGTTAACTCATGCTGTGCATAACAACGATTTCCTAAAAAATATGGATTTATGTAATTATGAATTTTTGCGGATTTAAGAGTTCTAATCTAAATAGGATTGTTGTAAACTCACTCCTAAAACCCTAGCATTATAAGTAGATGCCTTTAGCTATTATTTAGAGAGGAGAAGAGGATAGAGAGGAGATTAGCTGCTATTTGTAAATCAAAACAACTCTTGGGGATTTGGTTCATCGTCTAGGGAAGTTTTCTTTTATCTTTCTTAAACTTATGTTTACAATGGTTGTTTATTTTTATTTGATTATGAACTAAGTAAAGTTTCTAGGGCTAAGATGTAGCCCAAGTTCATGAATATGGATTGATTGATTATTGTTAATATTTGTTAAACATTATTTTCTAAGTTTTATTATGGTTCTTAATGCTTCAATTATATTTGTACCGAGAGTTGATTGATCTAATGGACAAGGTTGAGATAGAGAGATGATATCTAGTTGGTCTAGTGTTATAAAACTATAGGTTGAGCAAACACTAGAGATAATTTATTGCAATCTGTGAGGCTTTGGCAAATTCCATAGAGTGGAATAGAGGTGGGCAGGGACCGGTCCTAAGCAGGCCCGGGCCTGGGACATGAGAAAAATCAGGCCTGGACCAGGCCCAAGGCCTGGTAGGGACCGGTTCCATGGGCCCAGGACCGGTCCTAGGACTGGTCCCTATGGGTTTGGATAATATTTTTCCCCCTGATTTTTTTTTGCATTTTAGGGGCGAAATGAAATTTTATTGGAAGCTTTTAGTATTTTTCAGGGGCTAATATGAAAAAGTAAATATTATATTTTTTGAATTTAATTAATTGTTCGTAAAGTGAATAATTCTCTACCCCACTCTGGTTGTCCTCTCTCAAGTCTCAAGTGAGCTTCGTTGTCTCTTTGATTTTTTTTTTCACCATGACATATAGTTGTCAAATTATTTTCTTATTGTTTTCATATGAAATGATTAATATTCCCAATATCATGACACAGACGTTACTGTTTTCTTCCTCTTAATAATCTATAAATATTATTTAAATTAATTACGCTATGGGTTATTTCTAAAAATTATTTCTGAAATTTAGACATTAAATGATGACAAATAATTAATTTATAGTGTTTGTTTTCTTATTTCCTTTGCCAACCTAATTATTATTATTATTAATTAATTAATATAATCTAATTTCTTCTATTATTGATTGCTTTACAGAGCAGCACATGGAGGATTCAAAAAAGTTTTATGGCACATTGTGACTTCTTTATAGAAATTTTTAGCTTTTTTTTTTTTTTTTTCTTTTTCTTTTTTGAGTTTTTGGTATCAGTTAGAGACTAGAGCACCTGCACTACACAACTAATTTAAGGCGGCTCTGCAAAAAAGTTGTTCATCTCTTTTTAAGCTTAATTAAAAGTGTTATAGGATAATTTCATTTTAGCCTTCATAATTTATATTTATTTTCAAATTAACAGGGGGTTTTAGTAATTTGGCTGGGGACTATATTAAAAAAATACAATTTTTTTTTGGGCCCAGGCCTTGGAGGAGGGCCCAGTGGAGGGCCCAGGCCCTCCTCCTTAGGCCTGGTCCTGTTTTGGGACCAAGCCTCCTAGGTCCGGTCCTCTCAAGGACAGGTCCTAGGACCGGGTTTTGGAGCTGGGCTTTTGGGCCCGGTCCCAAATGCCCAGCTCTAGAGTGGAATGATCTCTTAAGACTTAAATCCAATTTAAAAGATACCTTGGGTTAGTAATAAAAAGTTAATCTAATAATTGTTCGAGAGAAAGTTATTCAAATTCTAGGGAGTTTGGCCAATAGAAAAAGCTTAATGATTTTAGCAATAAATATCATTACATAGGAGTAGAATTGGTGTGAATTCTATGCCCTAGGTTTAGTTATATTGTTTAAAACCAACCTTTTATTTGATTTGCAATT